CCTTGGCAGGGATGTGCACCTGCGAAGCCAAGGGGAGCACCCCATGCAATGGCTTTTCCTGCAGAGATCGGTGCCAGGCAGCAGTTACGCTTGTAAACGTGCATGGAAAGGGAACAAACCTTCCTGTCTTGTCTTCCAAAAGCATTTCAGTCACATAGAAATCAAAGTCCCCTTTTCAAAAGTGACAAGTGGCTCAGATCCCCCGAGGTACATAGGTCCCAAACTTCTTGGTTTTGAGGGAGAAATCAGGCACCCAATTATTCTGATGGATCTGAGCTTTTACCTGCTAAAAAGCTGGTACCAAACTCAGAACCCGGCCTTCCAAATACCTGTTTAAGATTCAAAGCGTCTGTTCCCACCAGTTAAGTCTCCGAGGTACCCAGCTTTCTGCTAGCCTGGGCAACCAGCCCGATCTGAGAGCACCATGTGCTGAGTGTCTGTGGTGACGGGCTACTTTATGCTGCCCTGTGCCAAGTGTCCCCATCTGCCCCACCTGGGCACGGAACAGGGCCTGATCCAGAAGCATCCCATAAACGAGTTTCGCCTGGCATGTTCGATCACCAATATTGCACTTACAGACCTTACAGCAGCCTCCCAGTACCTGAAAGGAGCCTACAAGAAAGCTGGAGAGGGGCTCTTTGCAAGGGAGCGTAGCGATAGGACAAGGGGTAACGGCTTTAAACTGAAAGAGGGGAGATTTAGAGTGGATATAAGGAAAACGCTCTTTGCTCTGAGGGTGGTGAGGCACTGGAACCGGTTGCTCAAAGAAGTTGTGGATGCTTCCATCCCTGGAAGCGTTCAAGGCCAGGTTGGCTGGGGCTTCCGCTGGTCTAGTGGAAGGTGTCCCTGCCCATGGTGGGGGTTGGAACCAGATGATCTTTAAGGTCCCTTCCAACCCAAACCATTCTATGATTTGATGATTGCGATGCTAAATCTGAAGCTGGGATAAAGGGACGCTGCCCTTCAGAGCTCCGGATGCCAGATAAGGGGGGGGGGGGGGGGGGAAAAAAAAGAAAACAATCACACCA